GTTTGGATGGCTTGGGTAAATCCAAGGACACAGCCAGAGAAAGGCAGACCAAGGCCCAGCTGTGACCTTGACCCCCATGGGCTGGGCTCAAAGATGTTGCGCTAGCAAATAGCTGGTGAGGGGACTTGCCCTCCAGTCGTGGGAGGAATGTGCTTCGAAGCAAGGGGGAATGTGCTTCGAAGCAAGTGGAAATGAGCTTCTGAGCTTGGTGAGGGGCAGTATGGTGCAGCCTGTGGAAAGCACTGAAATGGTGGTGGTGGGCAGCAGCCTGGGCTGCACTGACTCCTGAGTAGTGCTTCTTGCTCTGTCTGTGGCCCCCAGCGAGTCCCTCTTTCTCCCTGAGATGCAGTTTCTTCACTCATCGGGTTGATAATAACATCTTGTCTTAGCTCTGTAATGAAAACAGTAATGTGTGCGGTGCCTTCTCAATTCATAGAAGTTAATTTTATTCTGAGTTCAAATATTTTTCTGTTAATACTACTATTATTATTTGCCTTTGAGCACATGAAACAGGGAAGAAACTTCTATATTGCACGGTATGTTATAGTAAGTAAGTGATTTTCAGGGTTATCCAGGTTTATTAGTCAGGTTCTCAAGAGGAACAGAATTGACAGAAAATACATGCATAATTATTGAAGGAGATTTGTGAGGTAGGCTTACAGGATCAGAGGCAGGACACCCCACAATGGCTGTCTGTAGAGATCTGGAAGATCCAGTAGCTGCTCAGCCCAAGAAGAAAGAAGCCACAAAACAAGAGGGGTCAAGGATGCAGTGTAGTCTGAGATTGAAGTCCTAGAAGCTCCTTGCAGAGTTGCTGGTGTGAGTCTGCACTGGAAGGCTGAAGACACTGGAGTCTGACATCCAAAGGTGACAGCAGCAAAGGGCACACCTGCTCAAGCAGACTGGAGCTCCTCAAAAATCCGACAACTTCTTCTTCCCTTTTATTCCATCGAGACTATGAGCCTATTGGATGGCACCACCTACCCACAACTGGGGTGATCTCTCCCCACTAAATTTGCTGGCTTACAGGGCAGTCATCACTGGAAACACCCCTCAGACACACACAGAAGTGTGCTTTACTGATCTGCTAGGCATTTCCTATCCCAGTCAAGTTGACATATCATGATTAATGGTCACACCAGGAAATCTGAATTTGCATCAGAAAAGTAACTTCCCATTCTCTGTAGTTGCTGTTTTCAGGCTGCCAGAATTGGAGGTAACATGTCTGCTAGTATTGTTTCTGAAGGTATCAGGGCAGCTGCCTTACACAGGGTTGAAGGCTCAGCTGTTTTCTGAGCACTGTGTTAAGGCTGGAGCAGAAGTTTCCTTAACTGTACGGTCTTGGGTTTGTTCCTTGCATGGAACATGTCCCCATGCTGGGTAATTTTCTGGTGATATATGTGTCCCTGCTCACAAAGGAACCAAGCTGTTTACCATTGTGTCCCTCAACAGCAAGCACAATTCTTAGCACATAGTAAGTGGGTATATTAATTGGCTTTCTTTTGTTGGGACAAAATACTTGTACACACCGCAGCATTTTGACTTGTGGTTTCACAGGGCTCAGTCTATGGTTTCTGGCTGAAAGGTGGAAACAGCATGGTGAATGGGCATGGTGGAGGAAAGTTGTTCAACAGGAAGCAGAGAGAGAGAGAGGGAGAGAGAGGGAGAGGGAGGGGGAGGGGAGGGGCCAGGGAGAAAATACCCTCCCAGGTCACACCCCTATGACCTGCCTCCTCCCACCACGCCCACCTCCTAACCAACCGAACATTCAGCTATTAGCGCATCAATGGATGAATCCACTGTTGAGTATAGGATCCCATGATCCAATCACCTTCCAAAAGGCCCACCTCTGACAACCTGAGCTTTTAGGGGGACATTTTACATCAAACCAAAAGAGTGAACATGGTAATGTCTTTTCTTTTTCTGAATGAATACATGAATATATGTGGTTGGGTAGGAAGGGAAGGAGACAAACTTCGCACAGAACATCTCAGAATCAGTTACTCACTGTCTCAGTCCCTTTTGTCTTCCTATAAAAGAGTACCTGGAGCTGCATAATGCATAAAGAAAGAGGCTTATTTGGTTCATGATTCCGGCAGCTAGAAGGTCCTGAAGGACCCTCGTTAGCAAGACAGACTCCATATTGCTGCTTGACCCACCTGCCTGTCCTTTAGATGAACTCAGAAGGAGGAAGTTTAAAAACCTCCTCCCCTTAGAAAGTCCCTTTAGAAATAACAATTAATCAACTATTGTTTTACAAATGTTCTAACAGCAGGACATTCCGCTTCTGTACCTTTTGCTTGCTTTGCTAGTTCTATCCCATAGGGGGGCCTAGAAACTGTTGGCCTCAAAGGTGTATAAAACATGTTTGTCTCCCCCAGTCGGGGCTTGAGTCCGATGCTCGGCTTGGGTCCCGGCCGGTAATAAACTCCTGTGTGGATTTAATATCGGTCTCTGGTTGGTTCTCTCTCGCTGGGTCTAACAGTCCAAACAGCACAGTGCCACTCTGGGGTGGTGACCCCTGGCTGCATTGCATCACAGTATGGAGGGGAAGCAAAGGAGAAGTGGGAATGAGCGACAGACAGCAGTGGACAGGACAGGACAGGCCCACTTCATAGCAACCCACCCTCGGGAGCATGAGAGCATGAGAGCAATGATTCACTCCCAGAAGAAAAACATAAATTGCTCTTTAGCAATGTCCAGAGGCACCACCACATTTACGTTGGTGGGGACAAACCAAACCCAAGCCCAGCTTACTCAAGAAATGTGCTGGCAGCAAGACCCTGCAACTTCTGATTTCCCCTCCATGAGCCTTGGAGGGAGGAAGCTCAACATGGCAGACAAGCTGCAGCTGTGAGGGAATTGGAGAGGCTTGATGTGGCCTTCTCAGCTCATGAGTTTGTGCTTCAAGCTGCCTGAAGCCACAGGTCCTGTGCCCTTGAGGACTAAGGTACCCATGGGTTTATTTAAAACTCTGACATGTCTGAGAGCCTTGGGACAGGTTGGCTGTATTAAAATATTGAAGTCAATAGTGCAGCTACTTAGTATATGTGGAAAAAAACATTTAGAAAAGTATTGTTATGAAAACAATACAAGCTTACTACAGAACCTTTAGAAAAGATTACCTATAAGAAGTAATCCCACCACCCAGAGGGAAGAGCTAACAGTATATTGGTGGATATTTTCCCCCTTTTTATTCTATATACATGTTATGTGTATAGGATTGGATTCATTTTGTACATATTAGTATGAAACCTGTTGGAGAAAAAAAGTAAACAGTGACCCTCAGGCTGCCGCGTTTCTCTTGTGACCTAGTTTCAGAGTCTGCTGCCACCTCTCGAGCTGTGCCTGGGGTGTGGTACTATCCTCGGGTGGCCCCATGGAGAGGGTGTTTGCAAATGTCCTTGTAGGTAATCTTTATGTACAGCTGTGTTATTTATGTGTATTCCTTGAGAGGAGGATATAGAACTCAAACCTATAGTAAAATTTAAGTCTCATTCTCTACTCTCACCAGAGAATTATGGTTTATGAAAACATTTGCCAATGTGCTAGGTGTTTGGGTCTGAATTTAAAACCATTTTTGATGATACATACTTTCTTTAACCCTTTGTCATTTCTCTTCTGGAATTTCTCATTGGTGTACTTGTCTTTTCCTTCTTGATTGGGTAGAACTCTTTCTGAGTTACCCAGTTACTTCTGCAATGAGGTAGAGGCCAAGTACTCTAGGCTGAGTTCATCTTGCTTTGGTGGTAAACACCTACCAGATTTGGGGTGAGGGCTGCTGGTCAGCACAAGGGTCAGTCCTATGCCACATGTCCTCGGCATCGTGTCAACAAGTGTGTGGACTCCTGCAAGAATGGGAGAGGGAGCCAAGCAGGTCTCGAGTGGCCTTGGGCAGTCTTCCAGTACACCTTTCTGAGGATCTGTGGCCCAAGTGTCTGTAAGTCAGCCACGGCTCTCTTGGGTCTCCTCCTCCAAGAGCAGCCCTGGGATTTGCTCTGTTGTGTGGCCCAAGACAGGGTGTCCTGTGCAATAGAATGTGAGTCTCATATGTGACTTCAGTTGATCTAGTTGTGCCATTAAAAAGAGCAAAAAATAGGTGAAATTAATTAAAAATTAACTTTTTTGGCAGTATACTGGAGATTGAACCTAGGACCTTCACACAGAGCTACATCTGCAGCCCTTTTTTATTTTTTTACTTTGAGACAGAATCTTGCTAAGTTTTAAATTAGTTGCCCAGGCTGGGCTTGAACTTGGACCCCTGTCTCAGCCTCCCAGAGTGCTGGGATTACAGGGGTGAACCTTCACAGTTGGCAATATTATTTTTTTTTTTTAAGTACCGGGGATCAAACTCAGGACCTTGTGCTTGTGAGGCAGGCAATGGAACCATTGAGCTAAACCCCCAGCCCGGCAATATTAATTTTTTTTTTTTTTTTTTTGGTACTGGGGATCAAACTCGGGATCTTGAACTTGCAAGGCAAGCACCAGAACCACTGAGCTAAATCCCCAGCCCCCGGCAATAGTAATTCTAATAACATATTTAATCCAACCCAGTATTTCCAAAATATTATTACTTAATGTATAATGAACATAAAAATGTCACTAGTGCATTATCTTGCACTTTCTGTTTTCATACGGAGTTTTTAAAATCAGATGTGTATTTTGTACTTATTTAGCTCATTTCAGTTTGAGCTCACCAAGTGTCATGTGCTCAACAGCCACATGTGGCCTTATGGGAAAGTGCAGGTCCCACAGCAGAAATTTGGCTGGGGAAAAACCAAAAGCCCCAACAAACTGTAGTCAAAATAGAAATGTCCTTTAGGATCTTGTGCCAGTGATCTTCCTGAGGATCAGGAGGACTGGGGGCCACTTTGTGAAATTTCTGATTGAAAATTTCTATGGGCCTGTCCACCCCGTACCAGTATGTATATGTTCCTTATGGGTTTCCATAGTGCACTGGTTTTCACCTTCACCTCACGATATGTATGTGTTCCTTTAAGGGCCAGCAGTGACAGTGCCCCAGCCCCACTTGGAAGTGAGTCAGAGCCCACCGCCCAGGACAGCCTTTGTGAGGCCCTTGCAAGGCGGGACTGGCTTCTTCAGGAGAAGCGGCAGCTGCAGGTGAGAATGAAACAAATGTCGTGGTTGGGGTTGGGGCTTCTCATTCACTGAAGCCAAATGTGGCAAAGTGGATCTGTGCTTTGCCAAAGGAGAGGGTGGCAGTAGCTGGACAGCTTGTAGGAATCTTGTCACAAATGGGGGCCAGACCCTCCTTATCTGCCATCATTTGACCTTTGGAAGCTTCCCTTGGAAGGCAGAGACAAGCTCTGTGCCTTGGGAATGCTTTGCGGGAATTCCTGGCATGGCAGACTGCGGGCTGCACTTCCACAGGCAAAGTCACAAGTCTGCATGGGCAGAATGGGTGCACCTGGAATGAGTGGAGGGCTGAGTGGAAGGCTGAGTATGGCCCAAGCAGCGCTGACAATTGCCATAGAGTCATCTGGGGTTGGAATCTGGGTACAGCACCAAGGTAAAGCCAGAAGCCAGTCAGGAGCCTGGAAGGGGCCAGGGCAGCTGAGGGTGGAGTGGGGTCCCTGCAGCTTGAGCTGATGCAAGAATGGGGCGGGAGGGGGGACACTGAGGAATGCTGGTCAGTGGTAGCAGCTTCAGGGGAGAGCAAGGTCCTCACCACCCGAGTCCAAAGCATGGTGCAGGCTCTAAGTAGCTGATGAGCTTGGATAAACTGTGCACCCACTCAGAGCATTCTCACCAGCTCCTTTCCCCACTCAAGTGGCTATAGTAGTAAGCTGGTGAAGGGAGGCAAGAATCACCACAATCTGGGAATATCCCCAGACAAACTGAACACTCAGATCTGCAGCGAGTATTGTACAGTGTGGACAGCAGGCGGTGTGGAATCTGGCTTTGGGTTTTTGACAACATTCACCTCAACTCCTGAGAATGTCAGAGTACAAAAAATTTCAGTGCTGGTACTCAGTGCTAGAAGTACTGTGTGCATTGCTGGGTGCTGGTGCTTAGAGCTAGAAGCACTCTGTGCTATAGCTCAGTGCTAGCGGCACTCTAGGGAAAGGTGCTTGAATCCTTGTCCATCCCATAGGTATTCTTGCGGTTTCAAGTGGGCCAGATGCCATTTGAATGGTCATTATCTCCATGGAGCATTCCCGGGGTGGCAGTCGGGAGACAGATGGCAAATATTCTAAGACCCTGAGTCAGAGGACTGGTGGGTTGGAGGTGGTAAGAGCCTCATTGTGGAGGCCAGGGAGATGGGTGAAGAGCAGAACTGAGCAGAGGGCAGGCCTTGCACACATCTTGAGCAGCTGGGCAGGGGAGCAGCTGGGTAGGGGACAGCCATGTGCAGGCCGGAGGTTGGCATAGTGCTGTGGGTTCGGAAGGCCATAGAGGGCTGAGGCAGTGGGAGCAGTGCATATGCAGAAAGGAGGGGGAAGAGGATAGAGATAAAGGGCCCAGGCTTTTCCCTGGCTGTAATGGGGAGACAGTGAGGCTTTTAAGCATGAAATGACATGATCTGACCACACTTTATTTTTATTGTTTGCAGTACTGAGGATTGAACCCAGGGCCTTTGCACCGAGCTACATCCCCACCTGTTTAAGAGCAATTTTTTTTTAGCTTGATGTGGTAGTGCACGGCTGTAATCCTAGCACTCAGGAGGCTGAGGCAGGAGGATTGCCTTGAGTTTGAGGCCAGCCTGGGCTACATAGTGAGTTCAAGGCCAGCCTGGACTACATAGCAAGATCCTGTCTCAAAAAAGAATTTTTTAAAACAATTTTGAGACAGGGCCTCATTATTATTATGTTGCCCAGGCTGTACTTGAACTTTCAGCCCTCCTGCCTCAGCTTCCCAGAGTGCTGTGATTACAGATATGCACCATCGCACCTGGCCTAACCACACTTTAAAGAATCACTTTGACCGCTATGTTTGAGTAAGTTATAGGACCACTATGGAGAATAGTTTGTGGCTTCCTCAAGAAATTAAAAGTAGGATCACCATGTGATCCAGCAGTTGCACTTTGGGGATAGATGTGAAAAATTGAAATCTGGCCGTGAAGAGTTATCTGTACACCTATGGCCACAACAGCATTGCTCATGATAACCAAAAGGTGGTACTGACCCAAGCAGCATCAGTGGATGGATAACTAAACTGTGGTATGAGGCTGGATTCAGAGTTATATTACTCAGCCTTAGAAAGGAGGGACATTCTGATGCAGGCTACAGCTACAATGTGGCTGACCCTTGAGGAGATGATGCAAAATAAGTCTTTCACAAATACTGTGTTTCCACTTCCGTGAGGTCCCCAGAGCCAGCTTCACAGAGATACAAAGTAGGACAGTGGGCTCAGGACAGGGAAGGGGTGGTGTCTGATAGGTGCAGGGTTCCAGTTGGGGAAGATGATGAGAGTTCTGTGGATGGATCACTGTGATAGTGGCACAACAAGGAGACTAAATGCCACTGATCTGCACGTTTAAGAGTGGTTAAGATGGTATGTTTTATGTCATGTGCATTTTAGTTCAGTGTAGAAAACCTGAGAGAGAACAAAAAAAGGAAAGAGATAGGAAGGAAGGGAGAAAGAAGAGAAAGAAGGAAGGGGAAAAGCAAGGAAAGGAGGAAGGAAAGAAGGGAGGGTTAGGATCCAAAGGTGGGAGCTGGGAGGTGGTTGAGGGACCTTGTCAGCTGTGCTGTGACTGAGGCCCTGTGGAAACCATGGGATTGTTTTCTTTAGGGTGTCCCAGCAGTAGATCTTTAGTGCCTCATCTTCCCTCTCACGTCTCTGCAGCAGACGTAAGTGCAGGAGGGACTTGCCGTAAGGAATTGAGACCTTGGGGTGAAGAAAACATGTGCAAGTATGTGGGAAATGCAGGATCAGGGCCGTGGGCTCTTATCAACCAGGAACAATAACGGAACACGGGGCGGGGGCAAGTTCATTAACAGAGTCTGGCTTTTAATTCCGAGTCCTCTCAGCAGTGAGATGATTATCTACCCAAGCACTGTGCACACGCTGGTTTCCAGTTGCCTGCTGCTTGTTTTATTCATTGATCTCAAGATTGGATGATAGGTGTGGGTGATTTAGATTTTGGTTTGCTATGTCAGTAGACATTAAATTCCTTTAATATTTTTATGAACGTCCAGCACCAGGATACCATGTAGCATCTCACTGTTCTCTCCATCCTGTAGATCCAAGAAGCCAGGATTTCAATCTTTCTCTATACTCTAAATTCTTGAGCTTGGGGACAGACCAGCCGTGTCTCGCCTTGGTCTGTGACGTGACTCTCAGAGCCCCATATATACTGCCACACTGTGTCCTTGTGGTCCATCTGTAGCGCAGCCAGTTATTTGTTATTTGCTGGTTTTTCCCAGTCCACTCTTTGGCTGACCCTCCATAGTTATTTAATGCTTGGAAAGGAATATTTTTCCTTCTGCCAACTCATCAGAATTAAAAAGCTGGGATGAGTTTTCCAGTTCAGCAAACTCCCAGAAACCTGCCTGCCTCGCAGGGACCTGCACAGCCTGGTGCATACGGCCCCTCTCCTAACAGCTGTGATCACCAGGGCAGGTTGCTGGGGAAGGTTTGTTCATATCTCTTCCCATTCTCTGCAGAAAGAAGTGGAAGCTCTCCAGGAAAGGATGTCTGCGCTGGAGGCAAAAGATCAGCAGCTGAGGAGGGAGATAGAGGAGCAAGAGAGAGAACTTCAGTGGCAAGGCTGTGGCCTGGTGACACTGCTGGTCCAGCTGTCCCGGGAGCATCTGCAGGAGGTCCACGAGGCCCTGAGGGACACGCTGGCCTCTGCCAGCCAGATTCCCTTCCACTTGGAGCAACCTGAAACCATTAGGAGGTATTGGTGATTTCCTGATTATGATCACTCGCCACTCTGACCTGTTTGTTGTTGGAATGACTGCTTTCCCTTGTCTGCAAATATTTTCCAAGTAGTCTGTGTTTTCCAGTGGAAGCTCTGTTGGTGTTTTGGTGGGAATATTCTTTACTGTGCAGGGCAGTACTGAGCGGGGGAGGTTATTTTCCATCCTGCTCACCCAACCTGCCCAACGCCAGCTCTCCTTTCCATTCCTATAGGCAGCCTCTCCATTTCTAGACTGCCTGGGTTTCTGTCTGGAAGAATGGGCTGGGACAGGCAGTGGGCATTTATTGGGTGCTTCCTCTGTGTCAGGCACTGTGCTAAGCTTTACTCTACAAGTTGCATCCATCTATTATCATGACCAGTTTACAGATAAGGAAGAAATTTGTTTTTCTTTGGTACCAGGGAGCGAACTCGGGTCCTTGCACTTTCCAGGCAGGTGACGGAACCACTGAGCTAAATTCCTGGCCCAAGGAAAAAAAATTTAAGTTAATAATTTCCCCAAAGTCTCAATAGTGAAAATAGATACTTGAACTTTTGTTCATTAATTCTGAAGCCTGGCTTCCTGTCTATTCTGTGGAGAATAGGGTCGTCCTTGGGCTTGGTAGTGTTGGGGAGGATCCCTAAGGCACTTAGCTGTCTCCTGCCCTTTAGGGAATTGTGCTCAGATGTTGGAGAGGGACAGGTAGAAGACACACGTGTTGGACGGAGAGGTGAGTAGTACCTGGGCAGATTGCAGACAGGTAGTTAAGATGGCGGGTACCATGGGTGCCACCCAAGCACAGGGCTCAGCGCTGTGTTTGGCCCCTGTGTTGAGAAACTCCCCGAGGCTCTCAGCCTGTGTTGGTGTGGAGGGACCCCCACTCACCCACTCCTTGGCTGACTTGAGGGAGGGATGGTGCTGACACCTGGTTTAGGGGTGTCTGCAGGATGAGCAGAGTAACTAGCCGCTCTCACTGCAGGGCCTGGATGTACTGTGCACTGCATCCTGCTTCCTGAAGGCTCTTTTTTATTATGGACTTTCCGCTCCTGAAGGCCTTACAGCTGCCTGTCTACACTGTCACAGAGTGTTCAGGGAGTGACCCTTGTCTTCTACATGTGACTCTAGCAGCAGGCCACACAAGCTGCTCCAGGGAGTCACTCAGGATCCCTCCCATTCCTTTTCTGTCCTTTATATTTCCCCACATGGAGCTCACCCCCGGCTCCAGCCACGAGGAAGGGGAAGAGATCTGGATTGTGTCTAGATTTCAGCGCAGTGCCGCTGATGTGGGCTCTGCTGGGGCCTTCACAGCATGCTCACAGTGTGGCCAGGTGTGGGGCAGGCTGCTCTGGCCTTTTTCACTGCACAGGAGAAGAGAAAAGCTCAAGAAGATTCCTGCTGATGCAGCAATGAGAGAACCTCTTATATATATTAGGGTGAACTTTGGTTAGCACCAGTAAATGATTCCTGCTAGAGAGCCAAGGAAGGTGCCTCCCCTCCAAATGCTCTTTCATAAACAGAAACAAGGAATTCCGTGGTGTGGTAGGCTGGTAGACCTGGGTCCAGAGCCTGGATCATAGGATTTCTAGTTGATGCTTCTACTCATGCATTGTAGCTTGCATTTTTTTTTTTTTGTAGCTTGTATTTTAATCCTCACCATGATAGCACGGTGCAGCACTGTCTCGGCGTTCTCTGAGGAGACCATCAGCTCTGGGTGTGAGGGTGATTTGAGCGTGGTACAGTGCTGTCTGTGGTTGTAGGGGAGCCCATTACTCCAAATGCAGATGTTTCCACTGAGGTTGCATAAGTCATCCAGTAATCTGCTCTCACCTATTGTGCTGGTGTGAGCAGAAGAAAACTGGTGTCTCTATGGTTCTAGAAAACCTCGAGGGCTTTGCACAGTAGGAAATTTTAGGAAAATTGAAACAAAGAGTTGTCCTGGGGGCTAGGGCAGGAAGGACTCCCTCAGAGTGGTTCAGTGACACAAAGAAACATGGAAAATTGAATGACATAATGGGATAAGTGCTTCTAGCATGAGATGCCCATGGTAAGCAGAGTGCCATTACTGGGATAGTTTTTTCTTGCAGGTGTCGAGTGACAGTCGTATGACACCCACATGACCTGCACTGGTCCTCAGGAGGTGATCTGTGGCTCCAGCCTCATTCACTTTGAGGAACAGGGAGGCCCTTCTGGTGGAGGTGGTTTAGCTTATGTATTTGCATGTGTTGACTCCTCTCCTTCCTCTGTCACCCTGAAAAGTGAGGCATCAGACTACTCCCTGCCAAAAGCATCAGCTGGAAACCTGTCCTCAATATGTGGGCTTTTGTAATGGTTTGAATCTGCAATGTGCCCTAAGAGGCTCATATGTTGAAGGCTCCGTGCCAATGCATCAGCATTCAGAGGTGGGGCCTAGAGAAGTGATTGGCTCATCAGGGTGCTGACCTCATCAATAGATAGATCCATGCATGAGTTCTGAGCTAAGTGGGCTATCAGGAGGTGGGGCCCAGTTGAAGGAAGTGGGTTACTGGGACGTGACTCTGAAAGTGTATCTATTGCCAGCCCCTTGGTCTCTGGCTCTCTTGTTCTCTTTCTGCTTCCCAGATGCCATGAGGTGAGTAGCTTTCCTCTGTCATACCCTTCTGCTATGATGTTTGGGCCTCATTACAGAGCTACAAGCAATGGAATCAGCTGGCCACTGACCTGGACCTCTGAAAAACCTGAGCCACAAGAAACCTTTTCCTCTTTAAATTGTTTTTCTCAGGTATTTGTCACAGCAATGAAAAGCTAACACACAAAATTGGTCACTCGAGGTGGAACTTTGAAGGGTGTCTTTTGTCCCCGGCCCCTTCTCCTCTTTCTCTGTGTTTCCTGGCTGCTATGAGATGAGCAGCTTGCTCCACCAAGTCCTTCCAGCCCGATGTTCTGCCTCCCAGAAACAATGGAGCCAAGTGGCCAGGGAGTGAAACCTCTGAAACCGTGGGCCAAAATGGATCTTCTCTTCTTTAAGATGTTTTTTCCAGGTATTTTGGCACCACAACAGGAAAGCTGACTAGCATAGCTTTCCCTTTGAGCAAGAAGACACAGGTTTTCCGTAAGGGGCTGCAGTGTGAGTTCACTGAAGTGGAGTGTTTGAAAAAAGCCAGCGTGGAGTCTATGGAGAGATGATTTTTAACTAATCATCCATAATTTTGTTAGCTCAACTTTTTTTTTTTCCCAGTACCAGGGTTGGAACTCAGGACTTTGCACTTGTGAGGCAGGCATGGTGCCACTGGGTTAGCTCGATTTTTTTTTTTTTTGGTACCAGGGATTGAACTCGGGACCTTGTGCTTGCGAGGCACTGAGCTAAATCCCCAGCCCTAGCTCAACTTTTGCTATGAAGTGTTGGCTATCTTTTAGGCACTGTCCTTTTAGGGGTATGTCCTCTAGGGGCCCCAGTCAGATAAGCATAGTTTTTCCTGAAGCCAGGGGAGAGATCCAGACAAATTGTGAGGTAGGGAAATCTTAGAATGTTTTAAGAAGACAGGTTTCAGAGATCAGTGTTGCTACAAAAACCTGGGGAAACTGTTTTGTGACTGCCACCATCCCCATCCAAAGAGATTTTGAGTCTAGCTGCAAACTCTGGGTGCTGTCTGGACAGGAGCTGCTTCTGATTTCCTCAACCTGGCCTCGTGCATGGGAAGATGTTCTTTCCTCGGATGAACCACACGTAAGCTTCAAGAGAAAGTCCTGAGAACACTTGCATTCTGAGTGTGACAATGGGGGAGATGTGAAGTCACCTGGGGCAAGAATTTTTTTCCTCTTTTGGTGCTGGGGGCTGAACCCAGGGCCTCATACTTGCTAGGCAGATGTTCTACCACTGACCCACACCCCCATCCCTGAGGCTGCCATTTCTGACCAGGGTTGTTGGGCATCCACTGACCAACCTTAAAGAGGGTTAGCAGTAGAAAGGCCTGTGCTGGGACTGAGGGGCCCCAAATGCCTTTTTGGGTGATTATAGAGACCAAAGTGGTAGTTTCAGCTTCCGCCATCTGTACTTTGGAACACGTAACTTAGCAGGAGGTGAGACAGCGTGGCTGTACTTGAGTAGAGCCAGTAGTTTTCTTCCCACAGACAAAAGGAAAACAATTTTTAAGCACCTGGAGGATCAGGAACTCCACAGCAAGGAGGATGGCAAAGCATCATGTGGAAGAGGACAGGAGCCACTTACAAGAGAGGATTTACAAGTTGGATTTCCCTCATCCCTGGAATTCCAGCCCTTTGGTTCTAATACAAATTCTTTGTTTCCTTGTGCAAGTCCTTGACAATGTGGAGGGCAGAGAAGGGCAGCCTTCACCTGGTGAGCTTTGATGTGCTCCTGGATTAGGCGCATCCTTCCTGTTCCATCCCAGGCTGGCTGACTCCCATTCCTGGTGCTAGGACTGGGATGTGGGGGTGAGAAGGGAGGAAGAGAGATGAAGGAAATACAGGGAAGAACTGACAGTTTCTGAGGTTTCCCGAGGGCCACATCTGTGCATGTGGTGGGAGAGTCTGTTGAGGGTGTGATCTCTGTCAAGTGCTGTTTGCCTGGCCTCCACTGGATTTGTTTTGGTTTTCCATGCCTCAGACACCAGGGAGGTGACCTGTGACCTTGTCTAGCATGCATGTGGTTCCCTGTAAAGGGAGGCAGGAATAATTGCAGCAATCACAGTGGGGTGGGGATGTGGAGCTGCAGAGGGTGCTTTTTGATGGTCTTTGATCATGCCTGGCTGGCTTGTATTAGTTTGTGGTTGTGTTCCTTGTTCCTCAGCTCCTGGGACATCTCATGCTTCATGTGAAATGTGTCCTGGCAGCTGATGGATGAGTGCTCTCTGGCTGTGCATTTGGAAGATGCATGTCCTGTCTTTTTACAGACCGTTGGCACAAACTGTGAAATAACCTCCGTCCCTGGTTACCAAGAGGTGGGGAGTCTGGGAGCCTGGCTGATGGCTGGGCAAGCAGGGCCTAGACAAGGGGGCCAGGCACG